GGGGCTCTGAAGTACTACTGCCACCTCCTCTTGGCTTCGGCCAATTTCCTGAAGATTGTGCCGTTGCTGCTCTTTACCCACTTTACCACCTTGTCTTGAGTGGCCCGATGCCGTGCTTTAGCAGGCCTGAACACGGACTTCTCTGCATTCTGCTTCCCAGCTTCTCGTTCAAGGTACTTCGCCTTGACGACGGCTTTCGCAAACCTCGTGAAGGTTTTGTGGAAGGCGAGGTCATCAGGGCTTCGTGTCTTCTGCTAGCGCTTATATGCTGATGACGAGATTTCTGGCAATGTCTGCCAGGAGGGGCCTGTGCTGGGGCCAGTTCTTCGCCAGGGAGTACCTTGATGTCCTTCACAGTTTTGAGGGATGATCTTCTTACCAGCACATGGTCGATTTCCGTCTGTCTCCCTCCACTGCTGTAGGTTACCTTCTGAGTCTCCCTTTTCGCGAAGAACGTGCTGCAGATTGCCAGATCGTGGGCTGTAGCCAGGTCCAGAACCCTCTCTCCCTCGGCGTTCCTCACTCCTATTCCTCTACCTCCGTGCACCCTTTCCAGGCCTCTTCTGTCACTGCCGACGTGACCATTCAGATCACCTGCTATGGTCAGGTAATCGCCTTCCGGAATCGATCTGATGGCTTCGTCAAGGCTCATGGCCAAGTAGAACTCGTCCTTTCACTTTCGGGGCATCCGCTTGTGGTGCGTAGCCCAGTACCCCTCCTTCGTGTCATCCTCACAGCCATGATCCGATCGCTGATCCTGTTCACAGCGGAGACATAGTCCTTGAGCGACTCCGCTACCGCTATGGCCACACCGTTCCGCTTGGTGTCTTCTCCATTGTAGTAGAGTTTGACCTTCCCCGATTTCCCTGGCCTTAGCACCTTTCCATCGCGTCTCCTGAAGGCATAGGACTTGGATATTCCTGCGCGTCATCAGATCAGCAACCTCTCGGGACTTAGCGATCCTACGTTCAGAGTCCCTATTCGAACTAGCTTCTTTGGCCGAGGCCGTTCACTCCTCGGTAGCCCTCGCATACTGACCACAGAACTCGGGCGGGGGTTCTGCGCGCCACTTCCGGGTGACGTCCTAGCTTTATCACTGATTCTTTGACAACTTTTAGACATGATTGGTGTGACTGGGGCCTTCATCAGCCGGCCTCGCTCGACCGAGGCCTGACCCTGGAGCTAAACACCGGCGTTTGCAATTCCCTTCTGACACAGGGAATCAGGTCTCGCAGATTACTGCAGGACTACTCGGCCATCATTGTTTCGAACGTTGTTGTATCACTCATCCCGTTATCACTACTCCATTGTGATAACGGGATGTGTGCGTAGACCCAGTAGAGAGATATGAGTGTTCCCTAAACGGTCAGTGTAGTTCATTCAGCCCAACTGTTTCTAATTGGATGGTGAAGAGCATCAGCATCTAGTGGAGGGTACAGAGTTAGCGATCGTACGTGCGACTAGGCGACTGACGACTGGGCGATTAGTCTATAATGAAAAATATACGTATAGATTAGGCGATTAGGCGAGTAGGCGATTAGGCGATCGCTCAATGGGCGGAGCAACAAATCAATACGTATCCTTCTCTTATCGCCTACTCGCCTACTCGCCTAATCGACTAATCGCCCTCGCCTACTCGCCTAATCGCCTAATCGATACGTATGCTTTTTTGAATTGTCGCCTGATCGCCTAATCGCCTAATCGCACATGCGATCGCCGAGTCTGAACGGCCGTCAACGCTCAGTGTCTTCATTTTGCCTCACTTTTTCTAGCCGAACAGTGAAGAATGTCAGCCAATTTGGCCCTTTGCATTTCGGGCGGCTTCAGCGAAAAGTGCGGTAGCTATGGTCAAGCACACAAAGTCACTTAGTTTGTCCAGAGCTGCCAAAGGAAGAAACGCCTAGCTCATTGACGACCCGTTATGCATTATATAGATACCTTACCCATTCCTTAGTTATCGGGTCTGATTCTGTATGAGCGATGGAAGGTAAAGTAACTTACCGGCTTCTCTGCCTTTTCTGGAAGAGGCGTTAGCTGTTGCTGCTTAGACTTTTCTGTTGCTGCACCTTCTGTATCTGAGCTGCTTTCATCGTCCTCCTCTTCTGAGCTTTCTTCGCCCGATTCAGACTCTTCTCTCTTGAACTTCTTATGCTTCGATTTATGCCGTCTTTCTTTATCTTTCTTCTTCTTTTTGCCTGAGTTTCTCTTCTAAATGTGAACGGACTCATCACTATTGCCTTTCAAGTTTCACTCTCAGTACTCTTTATGTAAATGTGATCACATATTGTCCGATCATTCTACAAGCTCCCGAGGAATCACATAGGGCAGTAGTTCCAAGAAGAGTTAGCTTACTTACCCTATGATGCTTCCTGCCCATCTTCAACCGGTCACCAGCACACTATGAATAGATTGAACCAAACTCACTCACCGCATCACTGTTGCAGAGTGTCAGCTCAACAAAAACACTGTGTTATCATTTGTGGTATTCACGGAGAGCGGTGTGCACGCTCGGCGGGTTTCACTTCGAAGGTAAGGGGGGTGCGGCATATGAGCGCGATCCCTTGGCGTTTGGAGCGCCAGTCGTGATCAGCACATCTGCTGGCCGGATAACTCAGTCGCGGGGCTTTCTGTTACCGTTCTTCTTGCATGGCAGCGGCAGCAAAGCATCACAATTTTTTATCTTTGGGACTCAGCGAGATTTTTGAGACCCAAATTATCAGATCGATCAATTACTGAGGTCCAGTAGTTTAGTGATACGGACGAGTTATGCGGCCGCAGGATGGCCTGTGCGCTCTAATGCCAATATGATCGCGCCATATGACCGCCACCTGGTAAAGGGGCTAAAGCTTGGCATGTGAAGGTAAAATCGGGCCAGGATGTGGAAGAGAGGGCAAGAAAGTGACAGCAAGTGAATAAAGATACACTCCACGGCACGGTGAATATCGGTCGAGGATTCCTCAACGGATTTTTGATTGATCAGATACACTCTCCAGCGCCGACATTCATCTCTGCCACGCCGCGGCCATGTTGCGGAAGCGCTCGCATTTATTCCACTACTCGACGGTTAGTGTGATGTTTCTTACTGTAAAACGAAGTGTAGGTGCGAAGCTAGGTCATGGAAAAAGCAAGAGGAACCTCCGAAAACAACTGATGTAGGTTGCCCTGCTATCTTGCGATAGCGCCGAAGACCACACTGAAGTGTATGTATCGCAGATACTAGGAGGCCATACGTTCTAACAGCCACAAGTGGGGCAAAACGTCGAAAAATGAGAAATTTCCTCGCGCCTGGATTTATCCCCTTCCCCTCTTAGCGTTAGTTATTGTTTCACAAGAGGTGTTTTACGTGGTTTTGAGTGCCGTTGCACACAATGCCCAGCATCGTTTGAATAGTAAGTCGGTTCGATTTCTGTTTAGTAAGGATGGAACGAGTGAGGCAGCGAACCCAGAAGAGGTACAGTGACGAGAGCCAGCGACAGCGTACGCAGATCTTAGCTTCGCTGTTGCGTGATCGAGGCAACATTGGGCCGCTGCCCATTCTAGCTGACTGACGCACTTCTGACTCAAATTTTCTGACTTTGTAGATAGCTAGCCGCCTATAAAGGGTTAATGTTATGTTATTTTATGAAATTCTATGAAGGGATTAAAGGAGGATTCCAGGTAAGGGAGGAGGTCAATAAAAGTGAAACAAAAAAAAAAAAAAAATGAGAAATTATGTTGTGATCCCCGCCGATTGGCCAACCCCTCCCCCGTCTGACTCTAGCCGCTTTAGTGGGGAGAGTGCTAATGTTGATGTGGTCAGAACCGAATAGGCACATGAGGCACGCATAACGCGCAAATCAACGGGCCAACGAGGTCCTCACTTCTGATTCTAAGCACTTTTCTCATAGGTTTGTTTTTTTCATTTCTTGATTTTTAGTGGCAGCTAACTTTTCGTCCGTGAACTCAATCTGTGCTTTTTGACAAGCCGGTAGGAGTGAAGCGGCTGTGATTGTGTGCGCTGAGTTGACGAGACTACTATGAAGTGATTCGTGTCTTCACAGATGCGTAGATCGGCGTTTAGCAGTGTCGCCTCGACGGAATCTGTTACATTACGTACGTTACACCAGATGGACGCTTTGCTGTAGGTTTGTCTTTACACCCATTTATTACCGCCAAATCTTCCATGGGCGGAAGTGGTGTAGTGACAAGTGGCGCGCTCACCACGCGAGCGGTCCGGGATCAAATCCTGGGTCGTGAGTCGCCCGGGCCAACCAAGCCTTCCATCCCTCCGGGGTCGGTTAATTGGTACCAGACTTGTCTGGGAGGATAAAAACACTGACTTGAACATCGGCTGGCCCCCGCAAGTCATTGTATAGGCCACATCGCATTCAAATGCCACTGCGAATGTACAAATGGAAGTAGAATGCGTGCCGCATCCCAAAAGGGATTGATCAACGGCAAATGCTTTATCCTTTTATCCTTTATCTTCCATGCTGTATGACTATAGTTAAACAGTCGGCACATATCAACGAAGTGCGTCAAAAAACAGAGTCAGTACTCTGGTGGTGCGTATATAAGGGGGGGGGGGACGGATTGTCTGGGGAGGAGTGAGGGCCAGCGCTGGATTGTTGGCCCACTGTATTTTATGTGATGTAGTTTGTGGGCTTTAGAAAAAGCCTCGAGGCGACCTTCGGGTCTTGCCGACGGGTTTACGCGACCTACCCCCTTCATCGTCAGTAAATCACAGCACCCTGAACGCTTAAAGCCACATATGATTAAAATACATGATAGTAAATTGCCGTAGATGAATGTGGACTAAGGACGAGTTCTCATAGAACTTGCTTCGGTGTGAAAACAGCAGTTTCCGGGAATTACTGTAGAACAATGGTATCTATCAAAACAACAGCGCAACGGCTACAAAGTTTTATCACGAACTCATATCTATAACATTCTTGAGATAATCTTTTCTTTCTTCCAACAAGTCGCCATCAACATCGGTTGAATGCTTCCCATTTCGGAGCTGTTTTGAAAAGCCTTATTGCAACGAGATCCTCCTGAAAGTATTTTGAGGTACAAGCTTGAACTTGTGGGAGGTTATGGTCCAATAAAGATCACTAAATTATTGAGCTATGAGTACAAAGTTGTGGACCAAAACAAATCGTGTTGGTATTGTGAGCATTAGTTCAAATAAGAGGTTGTTGTGATAATGAGTGAGTAGTATATAGGGCCAAAGCGAATGTACGAGTTCAGCGGTCAAGAATGACGCAATCCCCGCAAAACCCGACTACCAATAAAGTCCGTCGAATCTTTTGGTCGGCAGAGCAGTGTCGACGTGCGCTGCGACAGTGCACTTTTAGCATTTACATGGGAATTGTGGACAGGTCGGGAAACAGGTGCCGGAACCGCCTTCACGACAAAGAGAGCCCGTTCGAAACCAATGCGCAAAACCAAACGGAAGTAGGCAAGAAAAGGCGACGGCGGGGCGGAATACGGCAGCAGCGCCGTGCTGTGGCGGATTTAGGGTCAAGTTTGAGCAGGAATATTACTGTAGTACGCCCCGTATACGCACGATATCACTCGTCTCGTCCGCTAACCCATGTGCTGCCTTCTCGCTGCACGACAGGCCTCGTCTAGCGTTCCCTCCAACCCCTGAGGGGCTCGTCAATTGCCTCTCAACGTCCTTCAACCGATAACGTTCCCCTCCAACCCCGAACCAGTGTGATCGCTGCCTCGATCGGTGTGGTGTGCACTTCAGAGAACCAAACACCCGGCCGAACTTCTGCTTTCCCCGCAAATCATTGAACATGGCACATTCCACTGAGAACTCAAACAACAATTGAATGCATAATAATCCCAGAAACAGGAATGATCAACGCCGAACGATTGACCGTTTTTCCTTAACTCTCGAGTTCTTTTTTTTTCAAAGCTTAGAATTTACTACGTACTAGTTGGTCGTTGTAAATACACAATGAGGTATTCCCCCCCCCCTCCTCAACTCACAAGGGAGGTCTTTCAGGACATGGAGCGTTTTTTTGAAATGGTTTTCTGCATGTTGTAGGTCATCCGAGGTACACAGGACCTAATCTGCGAATACGAATGTTTTAATCGATTTTTTCGATAGTGGAAACCCCAAAGCACACTTCCTTCCAGGCGTTCCCTTGTCTCCGCCCGACCTACCCGCGACCGTCCTCAACGTGTGTTTTCGTAGTTTGTTTCTCCTCGGAAACTGAATCTTCTTGGGTGAAACTCTGTTGTCTCTAGTGTTTACAACTGACGTATGGGGAAAATGTAAGAACTTTCCGTGAACGATGCTTCTACTCTGCAGTCGTTGTGCACAGATCTAGTTCTGGCACGTAATCTGCGTACCCTGTCCCAAACCCATAATAATATGTGGTTACAAAATTAGATGCCATCCTTGTTCACCTCCACGAATCCATTCCCAATACAACCATTTTCTCAGGGAAAGGAACAAATTTCCATTACACCATCCTAATTTCCCGTATCCTGCCCGCCGAAACACGAAATTCACAGAATGCATCGTTATCTTACTGACTGTGTTCTTCGAAATTGCTGTCCCGCTCCTACCGCGATTAGCTGTTCTCCTCAGTGCTCCTCCTCCTAGGCTATCGCACTACTGCCCCAATGCCAATCTCTAATTCATGCGCAAAAAGTTATTTATTTGCTAAGCGCCGACTTTCCAGCCAAAGCAGTCCATTCTAAAAGAATTTCTTGAAGTTTCAAAGTGCGTATCCCTGTCTTGCAGGGGGCATCGCTTCTGTGTGTCTTTTGGGGCAGCACTTTGAAATAATTACTTTGTGATCAGTTAAGTGAAGCGGCTTGATAGATTCCAGCCGGAAGGATAACACAAAATCGCCGCTTTTGACTGGGAATGCGAATCCACTTCGTCCTGTAGAATGGTCAAACATTAGAGTATGGGAGGAAACAATTGAAATTTGATTCAAATCAACAAGAATATACCTCAGAACTTCGAACATCGAAGAAACCCGTGCCGGCTTTTATAAAGCGCACTTCAGCGTCACGATGAAGATGCTCTTCGAAGAAAGATTTTCAACTGAAATATTCACATACAGTAGAAGACCTCAGCTCATTCGACACCTTATCACTTGCACAACACTTTTTCATTCTCACGTAAAAATGCGATCGATAAAAAATTGAGATCGCGGCTATCTTAAATGAGAGTAATCTCCATCTTCGCACGGTCCCACAGTGAGTGTAGTTCTATGTAAAACAACAGGACCAACAAATCATGTGTTAGTAACTTTTCAGTGGTGTAACCACAACCACGGTAAAAGACGGTGATAAGGAACTTTTTGCATACAATCCCTCCTTCTTACCCTCCCCCCTCCGTCCCCCCATACCCCGTATACTCATCCTGTT